TTTTAATATATTACTTTCTTAATATTAGGTTATAGCTAATATTACTTTTTTTTTTATTTTTAGGTTTTTATCTATATAGTTAATAATTTTTCTTTATAGCTATTTTTATAGTTTTATAAAATACTATTAAACTTTCCTAGCTTTTAAAAGTATTAATACTTTCTTTTTTAATAAATCTAAATATTAATAAAAGTTTATAAGGTATTAACTTAGCCTCTATTTAATAAACTTAAGAATAATAACTATATTTATTTCTAGGTTAATAGAGTTTTTTAGTAAAATTTTACTTTATTTTATAAAGTAGTCTTAGTTACTACTATATTTTTTTTACTTAATTAATAATAGCTTATTTAGGTATTAATTCTATTTAACTTAATAAGCTAAGTTTATATATTCTTAAGTATAGATAATTTTTAAAGATTCTTTATAAAACTTTTTTAAATTAGCTATAAAGGCTTTTTATAAATTCTTTTTTTATTAATTATAGATTTAAAAGTTATATTAATTTAATAATTTAATAATATTTTAAATCTAAATATCTTAAAAAAGATAACTATCTTTATTACTTTTATTTTATAATAAATAACTTTCTTTATTTAACTTAGTTTTAAAAAGTTAAAGTTTCTTTTTTAAGGTATTTTTCTATTTAGCCTTATAAATCTATTATTAAATCTTTTTCTCTTCTTTATTTAATAAAAAAAATATATTATTTTTAGCCTTTTTAAAGAAATTATTAATTTCTTAAATTATATTATTCTTTATTAATATAATAAAAAGATATTCTAAAAAAGGTTAAAAAGATAAAGAACTTAAGATATTTCTTTCTTTTTATAATTTAGCTTTATTTTTAATAATAGCTTTTATTTTCTTTTTAAATAATCCTTTAATAAAAACTTTAAAATTATAATAGTTAAGTTAGATTAGGTAGAAAAATAAGAAAGGAAAAAGGTAGGTTATATTACTTATTAAAACTAAAACTTATCCTCTTTTTCCTTTTAAGAAATATCTTTTTTATTTTATAATAATTAAAAGAAAAATAATCTATTCTTTTAATTAAAGTTTAAATACTATTTAAATACTAATTAAAACTTATATAAATTAGTCTTATTCTTATAAGTCTATTTAAAGTCTTAATTTAAGTTTAACTTATATATAAATCTTATTAATCTTATAACTAATTCTTCTTTAAGCTAACTTTAAATACCTTTTTATCTTATAGCTAATTAGTTATTTTATATAATTTATATTTACTATAGATCCTTAGCTACTATATATTTAATACTAATAGTATTAACTTTATTAGTAATATATAGTTCCCTAATTACTAAGGTTTCTTATAATTATAAATACTAAATTAAGTTTAATTTAAATTATATATATTAAAGTATTATACTAAGTAGACCTATAGGAATAAGACTACTATATATAAGTTTTAAATAATATTTAACTAGTATTTAAACTTTAATTAAAAGAATAGATTATTTTCCTTTTAATTATTATAAAAAAAAAAAAAATATTTCTAAATAAGAAAAAGAGAATAAGCTTTAATCTTAATAAGTAATATAACCTACCTTTTTCCTTTCTACTTTTCTATCTAATCTAACCTAATTATTATAATTATATTATTAATTTTAAATAGGTTTATAGTATAAATATCTAGGCTAAACTATTTAATAGCTACTAAACTAAGACTTATTTTACTAGTTCTAGGTATACTATAAAGTAAGTAACTATACTTAATATATTAAGCTATAGCCTCTAAGTTAAGGTACTTTATAATATTGTTAAAAGAAGTTGTTTTCTTATACCCTAAGGGAGGATAATAGTATTTACCTGCTTTTAATCCTGCTGTGTGGCGAGATTCTAGTAGCTATTGCTATCTATATAAATCGTGGTCTTGCTTTCTATTTGTTTCTCTAGCGTGACCTAGCAGTCGTAAAGAAATTCCTTTTGTGTTCTAGACGCTATACCCATATAAGAGAGAAAAAATCGTTCACAATGCAAGAACTCTTCTTCTTCTATAAAGATAACGAAAATAGGTTATGCCTTAAAAATTCATTACAACCTAGGCATAAATTATTAATTCTGCCTTAAGATATAGAAGCTGCCTTGGTAGTAGGCATATATATATATATTATAATTTAAGTAAAGGCTATAGTATATATAATTAGCTAAGGACCTACTTATAGTAAAAAGCTAGAAAGGAATAGTAGTATATAAATAAAGAAGTTAAGTTTAAAGAAACTAATTCTAATTACTAATAGAATTAAATAATAAAAAGCTATATTAAAAAAGAATAGTTAGGCTAATTAGCTAGGCTAAAAAATAAGTATAATAAGAAAGGAATTTCCTTTCTTAGTTAAGAAAGAATAAGATAAAAATAGCTATAAGTTCTAATATATATTATTTTTTAACTCTACTATATAAAATTGCTCTTAGTTATGACTAGTTATCTAATGTCCCTATTAGTTAGCTTACATAATTCATGGACAATGTGCGCAATCACATGCTAGGTTAGCCCCTCACGCTACTCACGCTACCGTCGCTGCCCAAGGCAGCGACCGAATATAATTATACCACAAGCAACCTAACCATAACCATACTCAGCAAAAACAAGACCGAATCACGACGATAGATTTTAACAGCCATCCCACTCCCGACGCAATGGTACAAAGCATCCGCTATCCAACAATAGCTGCGCTAACGAGAACGCCAGACCTTCACACCCGAAACATTAAGCGACAGCGAAAGCAAAACGATTGCCTGGGTAGACAATAAAATTCCCGCAGAAACATATTATGGTCAAGGTGGGATGATATACTGGAAGAATGCCGTCGTAACGGACCAGAAAGCGCTTAAGTTATGGCGCGAATACGTCACGGGAAAGGGTTATTTGGAGGTCGGTGGGGAGCTCTATATTTACGGCGGGCAAGTTTATCGGGAGAAGTGAATATACTATATTGGACTTTCTAAGCATTCCCGAATCTTTGTGGCTGCTGATGTGCCAACAGCAATGCTGAGACTTGGATACTCCCTTGAAGTGGACACTGATACAGCGTCTGTATATTGTTGCATCCCATGCCGCAACTCCTCATGTCGACCTGGAGCCGCATCGACATAGGCTCGAAGTGTCTTGCCGAGAGCTTTAGCTATAGTGTCGCAAGTAAAACGTTGCCAAATACCTTCTCCACCTCCTTCACACCGATATATAGTTCTCTCTTGAGTATCTGGGAGAGATGGCCTATCATCTATCGAACGTACTGCAATGCCAGAGAGTGCTTGTGCAAGGTGATTTGCCGTAGATAACCCCAGAGGCATGTTTATCATACAATCAATAAGACCCGACTCTGGAAAGAACATTTTAATGTCACACCCTTCGCAGCCACTAGTCGCTTGGGCAAATTGCTCACCCAAACAAGCGTTGATGCCTCGTAGTGACCAGACCACAGAAAATTCTTGTCCTGGAACGAGATGCGTGCCCGGCGATCTCGGCCGGGTGGTAATCGCAGGATAGTGGCCCAAGGTTTCTTGCTCTGACGTATGAGTTGCGTCTGGATCTGTTGGTGTAGCGTTTCCAGGGTTCTCCTCCGTCCTTTCTTGTCCCGCTGTGTGGGTTGCATCTGGAGTTGCCGCGGTGGCGTCTACAGACTTGTCCCTCCTGGCTCTAGCCTCATTTTCTGGGGAAGTAGGTCAGTTGGTGTGGCCCTGAGAAGATGATGTTGGGTTGAGAGTACTTACCTTGCGGCAAATAAGCAACCGCAAGATCCGCTAAAACATTGCTTTTAAAACTGAGCGCAGCTTGCTTGTTGATAAGATATTCAACCAACTTAGGAATATTTGCTATGTGCATGTAATATAACCAGGTCTTCCGGATAACGGCAATGTATAGTAACTGCATTGTTGACTTGCATTCTTCCTGTAGTTGAACGATAAAGCTCCCGTATTTGTCCAAGCGATTTAATGGTGCAGTGGTATGTTGTACATATGCTTTGGCAGCCAACAGCCTGTCTTCTTCGTCTTGGCTCAATCGCCCCCGATATGCTTTGGCAGCCAACAGCCGGTCTTCTTCGTTTTGGTTCAATCCCCCCCGACGATCAATCTCGGCTGCTACCTGCTTGACCAGTCTCCAGACATCTTCTGGACTCTTCGCTTGCTGGCATTGTCTCGGTCCTTTTCTTAGCTGTTTTCTCGGCATGGCGGAAGCTGCTGAGGGAACGACGGAGGGGTAACGACAAAGATAACGACAGAGGGGGGGGGCAACGAAGAGGATGACAGAGCTGACGACAGGGCTGACGACAAAGATAATAAGGTCAGAGCTTGCGTCAAGGAGGGGGACAAAGAGGACAGCAAAGAGGACAGCAAAGAGGACAGCAAAGAGGACAGCAAAGAGGACAGCAAAGAGAACGACAGAGAGGGTGACAGAGAAGATGACAGAGCGGACGACAGAGGGGGTGGGGACAACATGGGACATTACCCGCTTTTCTATTTACGAGCGCTATGCTGCTAATTTGATATATTTATCCAATATTACGAGTGATGGCGCCGCATCAAACTGGCCGCCGGCTCGCAGAGCTGCGGCCACGCAGATTAAAGGTATCCGCCCTTTGTTAGCCACGGCTGGTAAAGAGGCGCCTCTTCCGCAAGAAGCCCACCCCAGCCGAGTATATCGTGGCGTTCGATTCACGCGGGAGGTGTGTTCGGCTTGCGTCTTGCTAGATTGCTTTCAGCTTTGTATGCAGGTCTCTTGGTCCAGCCAGGGCCGAATGTGAGAAATGATTATCGCTTCTCAATCAAGTGTAGCTTGCGTTGCAATTGGGTCAGGCAGTCCTCCCTTTCGCCGTCTACATAAAGCCCACAGCCTGTAGAATTCAAGCTGCTTCCAGGGAAAGTAGACTATTAAACAATCCCCTATACTTTCATCATTCTCTTACTTTACGAGATTTATACGTGCCTAGTTGCACGACTGTTTCATTTTCGTGCCACACTTGCAAGTGACCAACATGTCGTCAAACGTCTTTGGCACTCTTTACTCCCAGGTGTCTTTCTTGGATACCTTCTTCCCAGGCTTGGGTGTTGCCTTGGGATACATTTATCCTCTCACTTCTGGAAATACTCATCTTGGACTTGGAACCCAGCTTTTCTGCACCCTCGGTTTAGTTACGTTCATACTCAAGTACGCCTACAGGCGTGTTCAAACAGTCCTTGAGGAGCATTTCAGTTTGTCAAATTTACTGTCTATTCAGCTGCTAAGAAGCTAACCGCCCACAGTGTACACCACAAAGATATCCACGGACGGCACCTACGACATTCTGCTCAATTGGGTACAGTCGCAACCATTCGCAGCGCAGACTCGATCCTCAATCGTCACTATCCAGGCATCTCGGGAAGGTGAGAAAAAAGGAACATTCAACTACATGCCGTGGAATACCCGCAATTTCTTCTGGTACAAGGGCCGCCTTCTCTGTGTGCGGACTGTGGAAGACAACTCGTGGAGAGGGCAAGAAGTTCTCTTAAGTTGTTTTAGCACGTCTCCGAGGATACTGCAAGACTTTCTTGACGATTGCAGAGCCATTTATGAGAAAAGTTCAAAGGGAAAAACTGCGGTTTACGTGAATGGCGACGGTTGGACACTTGCCAAAAGGCACGATCAACGGCCCATGGATACTGTCATACTTCCTGAAGTTGTGAAGAGGGATTTTTTGGATGATGTTGCAGAGTACCTCGACCCCGACGCAAGATCTTGGTACAACTACCGAAAGCTACCATACCGTCGCGGATATATGCTACATGGCAAGCCAGGCACTGGCAAATCGAGTTTAGCCTTTGCAGCTGCTGGACGGTTTGACTTGGATATCTACGTTTTGAATCTTACTAAAGTCAGCGATAAGACCCTCCAGAAATTGTTACGAAATTTACCCGCACGATGTCTTGTTCTCTTGGGAGATATCGACGCAATCGAGGCCGCCAAAAGCCGCGTCGGCGATGTTGCGGGGTCAAAGAACGAAGCCGCAGGCGACAACGTGACACTCTCCGGGCTCCTGAATGAACTTGACGGAGTTGCGTCCGATGAAGGTCGTGTAGTAATCCTAACAACCAATCATATCGATCGCATTAACCTAGCTATTTTATAACCTAGGCGTATAGATAAAACAATTAAGTTTAGGCTTATAAGCTAGGAGACTCTCTAGGGTTTATTCTAATTTATCTATATACCTATATCTAGTAAGATTAAAGGAATAAAAGAAGGCTAGGATATCTAAATTATTTAGAAACTAATTAGGATTTTTACTAACTATATATTTAAAATAAAATTTAGCTTAATAAAGGTTTTATTATTTTTTATTATATATAAATAATTATTAAAAAAAGTAATAAATAAAATTATATTTTAAATTAAAAAAGAAAAAAAGGATTTTATTCTTTTATATAGTTAAATTTTTATAATTAATAAACTAAAAAAATTAAATATTAAGATTATAATATTAAATAATAAAGTAAATAATTAGAATTATTTTATTTAAAGTATAATCTATAAGTAGAAAAGCTAAGAATAGGATTCTTATAATAGTTAGGTTAGATTAGGTAGAAAAATAGAAAGGGAAAAAGGTAGGTTATATTACTTATTAAGACTAAAGCTTATCCCTTTTTTCCTTCTAGGAAATATCCCCCTTATTTTATAATAATTAAAAGGAGAATAACCTATTCTTTTAATTAAAGTTTAAATACTATTTAAATACTAATTAAAACTTATATAAGATAGTCCTATTCCTATAGATCTACTTAGGGTCTTAATTTAGGCTTAATTTATATATAGGTCTTACTAATCTTATAACTAATTCCTCTTTAGGCTAACTCTAGGCGCCCTTTTATCTTATAGCTAATTAGTTATCTTATACGATTTATACTTACTATAGATCCTTAGCCACTATATATTTAATACTAGTGGTACTAGCTTTGCTAGTAGTATATAGTCCCCTAATTACTAGGGTTCCTTATAATTATAGGTGTCGAATTGGGTTCGATTTAAATTGCATATATTAGAGTATTATAATTCTATAGTAAGGAAATTATATTATAACTTTACTATAAAACTATTATACTTATATTAATAGATAAGATATAGGCCTAAATATAGTGATGGCTGCCTACCTTACGTTGTCGGCATTATAACTTGTTTTATATCTAGTATAATAAGGCATTGATTTGCTGCTAACTAGTTATGAACCACAAGTCAGGAGAGTGGGGACGTGTAGGGTCACGTGTAATAATACCTCCCCCCTCATGATGACATGACATCGCGGGTCGCAAATTTATTTACACGTGGGCAGGGAATCCGGCGCATGCGAGATGATCATGGCGAAACTCAGCGAAATCACCACAGAGAGCGAGTGGTAATATTATAATCAGTCGCGTGCACGCCTAATATAATGGTACGATGCAATGGTACGAGATAATGCTATGATACGTTGGCCACCCGAGAACCGTAGTGCTGACCAAGCCCTTAGACCTTCTCACCGAAATATTTGTCCAAGTCCGAAGAACAAGAGAAAGAAGCAAGCTGGGTGGACAACGACGCGAGGATATACTACGCCGAGACTGATGTGTGGATATATTGGAGAAATGCCACTGTTTCCGACGTGGACACGTCGGCAACATACTTCGAGACAAGCGGCAAGGGATTTTTGAAGAAGGGGGAAAAGATTTATGTATTCGAGGGCCAGGTAATTGTGGAAAAATCTTCAAGTCAACCTTGACAAACGGTCCCGTATCTGCTGGCCGTACGTTATGCTAGTAGCAATGCTGAGTTCACAGCGCTCCCGTGACAGATGCAGCCGAACCGCACCCGTGTATAGCCGCATCCCGTGGCTCAGCTCAATGGCCCGGCCCGGCGCAGCCTCGGTGTACTCGAGCACTGTTGTTCCCAGAGCCTTGGCGACTTCCTCGCAGCCCACCACGTTCCATCCAATCTCGCCCGTAATGGTGGCATCGAGCCCGCTGGCCTTGGGCGTTTGCGGGTGGCAGTGCAGTAAGACGCCCGTCAGCGTCTGCACAAGCGTAATCGCCGCACTGGGATCTAGAGGGATTGTGATGAGGCAGCCGATTGTCGGCACTTTGGGAAAGGCCATGGTAATGGGGCGCCCCGGCGCACGACTTTGTCGCCTGCACGAATTGCGCGCCGAAACACGCGGTGATGCCTGGCTCTGACCACTGCAGTTGAATCCATATCTCCGCGGTATTGTTATTCGGCGCTCGAGACACAGTTATCGTCGTGGGAGAGGTTCGCATGATTTCTCGTTCTGCCGTCGCAGCTGCAGCGGGAGCCAACATGGTGGTGTCTAACCCTCTGCCTAGGTGAGTAAAGGTGCGCTTCTAATGGACATTGGGCTTCTTATTTTACAGGGCAATCACCATCGTTGGGGCATGGGAGCAGTGAGAGGAAGGTTTCATTCGAATATTGGAAAAGACTCTCACCTGAGGGAAGATGCCCTGTTGCAAGAGAGTCAACATTCACGTTACGGAAGTCGGCCTTTCTCCGCAAACGCAGGCTAGACTAGCCACCTATATACTATCCTAGGCTATAGGGGACATATAGGTTATATATGCGGAGGCTGGAGGCTATAGGGGACGGAGGCCGCCAGAAGCCGTAGGGGACCTATAGGTCATATGATAGGAGGCATATAGTAGGAGGCTGCCGACGAGCCACTTGCGAGAAGGCATCAACACGACCTAGATCATACTGTCGCCACTGTGGCGGCGGACAAGGGCTTCATCGCATCGCCCGAGGTCAGGGCAGTTGACCCCGAGGCTGCCGAATCCATCACGCCGCATGCCGCCGTGCTGCTCGGGACGAATGCCCAGACAAGAGGTGATCGGGCCCGTACCTGGCTTGGATGGGAGCCGCAGGGCCCAACCCTAGACGACGAGATTGAAAGAGCTGTGGTGGAGGAGGCGGCTAGCCAGAAGAGTGCGCGGCCGAGTATTTAAATATTCATGTGATAGCTTGCTTGTTAGCCTATGGTCGTCGTACACTATAGAGCAACAATCGGACACCTTCCTAAGGTTGTAACATCAAACCAGCTTAGGGTATAGTCTTGCCTCTCCTCTCTCAATGCCCACACTTGCCTCGCCAACTCCGCCACTGCGTTAAATACCGGTATTCTCGCTTCTCCTGCCATGTGCGCGAGCCAGTTGCTCAGACCCTCTCGGAGAGGCGGCTCAATGGCTTCGCATGCTGCTACACATGCCGGCCAGAGCAGCTGCGCCGCTTCGCCCGGTCCATTTGTCGCGGACAGGCCGTCGAGCACCTTGCGCACTCTGTCTTGCAGCATCAAACCATTGATATTCTGCACGCGCCGGTAGTAGAATAGAATGGCGGCCTGGTGAAACGTGTCGGCGAGAACCGGCATGACTTGGCCTCTGGCATTTCTCGCGGAGCCGGGAGAATCAGCAATTTGACATTGGGCAGTCTCACATGGCCGCTTCCACGAAAGTACGTTGTGCTTCAGAACCTTGGTCCGTCGGCCCAGGTTGGCAATCATCCCCAGGTCGACATTCGCATCGCGGTGTAGCAGCTCCTGCTCATTCGCCAGCCGGATCGTCTGCGACAACAGGCCTAGCAAGCTCTCCGGCAGCCCATAGAGCTGCGGGAATAGCGATTCGCGCCAATCGCCCATGACCTCGAGGTGCAAATCGTCGTGCGCCGCATCGGCGCTCTTCTCGGCGGTCATCTGCAGGTCCGACTCGGTGCTATGATCCGCCACGCAAAAGCTGCGCAGCTTGTGTCTCGACGCCTCCGTCACCAGAGTCCGTCGCGCGCCAGGCTTGGCAGAGCAGATGTTTCGGAGAATACATCCGCACGTGCTCTCGGTCAGGATGCGCAGATATGTGTAGACGTGGTGAAGCGTGCGTCTCTGCGGCGATTTGGTCGGCACTGGCAGTCCGCGCGTGCGGATGAGATATTCGGCTTCGAGAAGAAGATATTCAGCCTCGTTGTACTTGGCGCACAGTATCTAAGAAGAGCAAAGTGATAGGTGTCAGCTTCTGGGGTGAGACACGCGAACTAACAAAAAAAGCCAACCGTACCTCGAGCATGGTCATCGACAGCAGCGCCATGAGCAGCTCTTCATAGTTTGTCCGAGTCAGCGAGAGAATCTCCTCTTGGATGGCGACGTCGAGATGTTGGCGGGCCTCTTGCTTGTACTGCTCCCCCAGTGCAACCCATTTGCTAGCCGGCGCCGTATCCCGCGGCGCGAGGTGAATGCAGCTCGCCGCCAGAAGCGAGTAGAGCAGGGACAGGCCGACCGGCATGGGCACTTGATCAAGAAGCATCTTGTCGTGTGCCTTTTCTGCAGCGGGTACATGAATAGTCTGCCAAGGGCAAATGGTCGCATCGTGACGCGCGGCATATGAGAAGGAAACGACACGGCGCTTGAAGTACTGGAGAAGCTTTGACATGCCCTCCATCGCGCGGTAGTTTTCCAGTGGCGATGGGTCCGGTGACATGTGTACGGGCTGAGGAACCTTTGATACACGACTGGACCGTGATGATGCGGCGTCTCCGGCCTGCGGATGGCACATTGGACCGTGAGCAGACGAGTTTGGCAGATATAACACGCCAAAAGGCCCATGGAAGCGGTCCCTGGGTGGCCCCCCAGACTGTACGGTTCCGGGCTGTTCGGCACCCTCGCCATCCAGTCCATCTAGGGCCTTGCTCACACTCGACGGCGCAAGCGAGCCCACCATCATTTGTGTCATGGCCTTCTGATGAGGCTCTACGTCACGCCCTATCAGCAGTCTATTCGTTACTCCCCTCTCTCAAATACATACCCATGAACAAGGTCCGCCGGGATGTCGCCTCGTCAAGACCTCGGGGCCGCTGTGCGCCCTCGTTTGCCCACCGTAGTGCTGGCTGGTACCCTGGACAGGGCACGCCGAAAGCCGTGCACATGCGGCATGCCGGGCGCGCCTCGTCGCATTTGAGGTGACGTTGCCGACACGTCCCGCAGCCCGTCAGCGAGCGATTCCGCTTCGCTTTTTGTTGATCTTTGACCATTGTGGAAGGTGAAGGTTCGGAGTGGGTGGCGACGAGTCGGAAGAATGGTAAGCACACGATTTGTCAGCCCTCGACCGACAAGTCAAGTATATAATATGCAACATGGGTGTCAAGAGACCATGTTGAAATTTTCATTGATATTGCTTTTAATTTCCGACTAAAAAATAGAGACGCGCCGTTGGATTGTGTGGAATAGCGACTAAGGTGTAGGTTGCCCTGCAGACCAGTGACACAAGCATCACATAACTTGTTCCACAACCCTTCATTCATCGAAATTCAATTCTAATCTCTATTCCCATCACCGCGTAGTAAATAGAACTTGCGTAAGCTCTACGCCCTTTCAACATCTCTTCCAAGTGCTGGAAATACATTAATATGAGGTGGTTCATTTTGCTGCAATAATTCTACTTGACTGGATAGGTGCGCCTTGCAGCCCACAAAGCCTTTGCCAGCGGAATCAGCATATGCAACATAACTCCAGTATCTCTACCTCGCCGTAGTATTTTCCTGATCATCTCTATTTATTATTATTTTCATCTTCTTATTTCCCGTTGTAAGCTGCATCCATCTGCACCCCGCATCTTTGGGTGGTTGCTCAACCCCGTTGTGCCGAGGAGCCCCTCCTTGAGCATCCACCCATACCACCCATACTTGCTCATCTATCATTACTACAAATACGTTGCAATTGGGCGCCCTCACTCCTCAATTGCCTATCGCTTCCCCCCTCATATCCTCCCTGCTCTTCAATGGCCTACCGCATCGCCGCCACTGCAAAGCACCTCGTCCGCACCATGTCCACCGCCGCCGCCCCAGCCAAGTACGAGTTCCTCGTCATCGTCCCCGACAAGCCGGGCACGCTGCAGAAGCGCCTCGAGGTCCGCGCGTGCGTTCTTCCCTCCTTTGACTTGTCGCAGCTTTTCATCCTCTGACGTTTCTTTATTAGCACGCATCTGGCCAATGTCAAGCCTCAGGTTGAAAATGGCACCTACAAGATGGGAGGTGAGTTTCTGTCACTGTGCTGTGTGCTGTGGTGGGATTGCTGACCAGAGATATATCTCAGGCGCCGTCCTGAATAGCGTCCCCAAGGGCGCGGACCCGTCCACGTTTGACTTTCACGGCAGCTCCTTTGTCGCCCTCGCCGAGTCCAAGGAGGCCGTGCTCGAGCAGCTCAAGGACGACGTCTACGTAACCAACGGAGTCTGGGACCTCGAAAAGGCCCAAGTTTTTCCCTTTCTCTGCGCCTTCCGAACCGCCAAGGAATGAAGGATGCCCCCAGGCATGCACCATGTATCATATCATACAGAAATCCAGCACCAGAACGGGGCTGCTGCGTCGAGTCATTCCGTTACTGAAAGCAAGACAGTAAGCTTGTTGAGTGACATGAAAATTACATAAAACTAGCTTCATACCATGATACAATGGAACAAGAAAATAAAAGGGCAAAAACTAAAAACCAAAAAAGAGAGAAAACAGCAAGACCACGCAGAGTCGCAATAGGTCAGTCAAAACTAGGTAGAATTTCAATCTCGTCGTCCGTCGTCGAGCCTTGCCCTCCGCTTTCGTCAAGCCGTCCTTCAACCCTCGCCTGCTTTGGCTGCTGCTACTGCACAGTTGTCACCTCTGCTGTTGACAGTGCATTGCCTCTTCGTCAGCTGCCCGAGGCGGCTTCGCTTGACAAAGGAGCGTCTGTTGAGCAGCGTCTGCCAGTATGCAGATTTCTGAATCCAAGTGCAGATTTTCCAGCAATGTGCAATTCAATCAAGAAGCAAAAAGAGCAACGCAAACAATACACAAACTCCTACAACCATCCTGGTTCCTTTCTTTTTAATTGCTCTGCTTCTTCTCTAGCCAAACACTTTTCAATCATGGACCGGCGTAAATGTTGCTCTAAAAGAAAAGGTAGGCTAGCAAAAAGCTCACAAGACACAGGATGGCCACGAGCTGCACCGAGACGCCGTCGGCGTTTTGCTTGACCGTCTGCGCCAGGTCACCAGCGTGCGCCTTCGCGCTCTCGCCGGTCTTGACGGCGCGCTGGCGGAGGCCGCTATCCTTGAAGCTAGCAATTTCTGCTTGCGCGGCCGCCAACTTGGCCTTGAGCGCCTCGAGCGTCTCGTTGCCGGCGTCCTTGACGGCGGGGACGGCGCGGCTGACCAGGGCAGCGGGGGTGTCTATCGGTGCCTTTTCCTCGGCATCGACGGTGGAACCCTCGTCGTCGTAAGGGGGAGGGGCACCGGCACCAGGCGAGGAGAAGTTGTGGGAAACGTCGGGAGTATCCGCGTTCTGCATAGACGTGATTAGCGCAGCCACAGGGCAGCCCGGGCCAAGTTACATACCCCGTTGGCGAGCTTCTTGCTAGGTGTCATGAGAGCAGCGCTCGGCTCAGCTTCGCCGTGCGCGGGAAGCCAGTTTACGCGAATTTTTCTCTCCTGCTTCAAGCTCTTGTCCGTGTGGTCGAGCTAGGTCCAGTTAGCCACTGTTTACGCTGGGACATATGACACTCACCACCTCAGCAATACTGGTAAACTCTTTATCTCCCGTAATAGGGGCCGACTGGACGAGGAACTTGTCGCGGCATTTCGAATCGGGCGTAGGATCGGCCTTCATGGCCTGGAGGAGGACTACAGAATCTCGTTAGTACTGGGGGACGAACAAGAGGGACATGCGCGGCCATCACACGCACCGGAGACATCGAAAGACTGGCCGGGTTCAATACGGCCAGCATTGGGTCGAACGCAGTATCTACAGGCATATTAGCCGGGGAGTTCGACGCGTCGCGAAGGAGGGGGGTTGGTGCCGCACTGTCTGGGAGCAGTAGTTTTCACCTGCGACGGGTACCATTGTCAACATCAAGCGAATCAGGAATCACGAGTGCGGCTAGCTGCAAGAGGCCGGAAGCATGCGCACGGGATAGTCATACCTTGAAAGCCAATGGCGCGGCGCTGGTATTCCGGATAGTGAGGGTCTGCGACACCTCGACGGTAAAGGGGCCTGGGGGATGACGACGAACGTTAGCATGATGTCGACGAGGCAGAGCAAACGCAGGACGGATGGAAGCATACGCCGAAAGTTCAGCTCGAGAGGCTCGACGTCGATAGACATGATGGGCGGTTGAGTCGGGTTGCAATGCAAACGTGTTCGGGGCGGATGACGAAGCGACCGAGGACAAGGAGTGGTTAGCCGGGGTGGTGGGTAGCGTGGTCGAATAAGAGGTAGGTGGTAGTTAGGTGGTGTTTCTTGGTGGAGGAGACGACGCAAAAGGCTCGTGGCGGGCGGGTTCGCGGTGGTTGAAGCAGATTTGGAATATGAAAAAAAGCGAATACAACAGAGCAGCGACGAGTGGGGGAAGGAGTTGCAGGAATACGATAAACAAGAGCGAGGAGTTGAGGGGGAGAATAACTAGAGGCGTGCCTTTGTCGGACGGGCTCGAGAAGCTACCGTGTAAATATGGGGGAGCGGAGGAGGGACCTCGGAGCGTCTTTTTGTCTGGGCGTCGAAGCGTCGTCCGTCCCAAGTCAAATAGCAATCCAACACGTCGCTGCTGCCCTGGTGGCCGCTTGGGTACCTAGACTCTACATCCCAAGGTACCCAGGTTAGAACTTAGGTAGTCGCTACCTGATAGTCAAGACCTGCGCAAACCAGGTAGCCGAGCACCTGAGAAGGTTGTGTCTTCCCTGGAAATGAACCTCTAGTCGACGCCACAGTGGCCTTGCGATACAGAATAGCCCTGGTGTAGCACCTCGCTGGGCTGGAACAAAGCCCAGATCATGAACTTGATAATACACAAGGTGTGCTTTGGGCTGCAATTGTTTACCCTTTGCGTTGTCCGACCGAAAAATGATACACAACATAATCCTGCATCTGTTCTTTGCACTTCTTTTACTCGTCCTTTTTTTCTTCTCTTTCGAATCGACCTCCACAACCATACCTCCAACAGTGGCGTCTGACAGTGACCTCACGACATGAAACAAGGCACTCACTGGCTGGCTGGCTGATGCTGAATATTCCTGTGCATCGTGCAGTAACACGTACAGTCTGCATTGCAGCCCTGCTGCCACGCCTTGCCCACACTGTCTTGCTGCTTGCATTCATGCGCCGCGGAATGAAAGCACCAGGCAATTGGCCAGCCAGCCACGCAATTGCGTTGACAGGTACTTTGTAACACCATTTACTTGAGACCACCGATGACAATTGATTGGTATTTGATCGGACTATCTAGCCAAGCCAATTCACGGCTCGCCAGCAGCACGCCCTACCCAGCCGACACCAATGTAAACCATTTTTATATAAAATTCATAAAATAATACATTCGAGCCGTAAAAACTCACTGACTAGGTAGGTACCTATTTACTCGATCTATTCGTCGCGGTGCTGCCTAGGTACCTACCCGCACTCCGCACGTCACTTGCCCCTCTGCCATCCATCAACTTCCACCTTACCCCACCACTTGACTGCACCCGAGCTTCGTTTGCCCAGTTCACGCAACACCACTGGCTTGCACACCAACCAGAAACACGCCACAATGCCTTCCGATCTAGATCAACTGCTCGATATGGGCTTTGATAAGACCCGTGCCGAATTCGCCGTCAAAAAGTCCGGAGGACGTATGATTCCCCGTCTGCCCTTCATTGCCCACTTCTGTGATGCCGGAAGCTAACACGAAGGCGTGATACAGTCCAGGGTGCCCTGCAATGGCTCGAAGATAATCAAGACAAGTCTATCGAGGAGATCCAGGCCGAAGCCGCGACAAAGGCAGCCGATGACGCAGAGGACGACGACACCAAAGCCCAGATTGCCGCGCTCGAGTCTGGCACTGCAAAGTCCCTAGTCTGCAACGAATGCGGCAAGAAATTCCGAACTCCCGATCTCGCCAGCTTTCACGCCAGCAAAACGCAAGTCTTTCTTACCTGTGCCTAGTGTGCCTTTTAACTTGCCGCCCATACTAACCCACTCCAACAGCGAGCATACCGACTTTTCCGAATCGACAGAAGAGATAGCCTCCCTGACCGAAGAGGAGAAGAAGGCCAAGCTCCAAGAGCTGCGCGAGCGGTTGCAATCCAAGCGCGCCATCCAGGCCGTCCAAGACAAGGAAGACCACAAGCGCAACGAGGTAAGAGGCCTCAGCCAACGGTGCGAGACGCGCTCACGGACACGCGACTGACGAGGAGCCCTCTAGCAAATTCGCCAAAAGTCTACAAAGGAGTCACAGGAAGCAAAGGAGGAACTGCAGCGCAAGGAGCAGATCAAGGAGGCCGCCCGCAAGCGCCAGGAGAAGCTTGACGACATCGAGGCCAAGAAGCGTATCAAGGCCAAGATTGAAGCCGACAAGGCCGAGCGCAAGCGCAAGGCCGACGAGCTCAAGGCCGCGCGGGAGGGTAGGGCACCAGAGCCCGCCGCGGCCACCACCGCCGCACCTCCTCCGCCCAGGCCCAAGGCCAACCACGCCGAGGCGCGCCTACGACTGCAGACGCCTACCGGCAACATTATGAAGACGCTGCCGGCCGAGACGACACTGTTTGAGCTGGCCGAGGCCTTGCAAACCGAGACGGGCACGTCCGTGAGCAGCTTCTCAACCACGTTTCCCCGCCAAACGTTCCAGGGCGATATTGACATGTCCAAGACGCTCAAGGAGGCGGGCCTCGTTCCCAATGCCTCTCTGATTGTCAAGTAGACTGTTCAGCCGCACTGTATTTAGATTTTATTTAGCAAGCATGTGGCAGGCGTTGAGAGTAGAAAGGTGAGAGAGTGCAGCAATTGAGTGGGTATGTGCTTTTACCCAGCTGTTTCCTGGTGGTATGGCGTCATAGGAGAAGTGGAAGGAAAAAGCAGAGGTAGACAGGAACAAAAAGAGTCAGCGACAGGCAGTCGGATGTTCATATTCCGATAGTAGCAGATACCATGATTCACACAGTATTTACGCCAAAAAACCCAACAACCGGCCTCACGGCATCACAAATCACGGTTTGCAGGGCCAGACACTTGTTATCTTCACTTTTTTTTTTGTTCAGTGCCATTTTTTTGTAACAAAAAAACAGACCAGCTCTGTTTCTCATGTTCTAACCCCGCGCGTAAAATAACTCCATTAAAAAAAGACGTGTCTTTCAAGAAGCATTTTCATCGCATTATCGTATGGAAGAAAAAGCTACTCTGCCCAAGGCACCCGCGCAGGGATACGTCGTGGTTGCCCTCCTTTTTTCCCAAAAAAAACCTGTATCGAGTCGATTGTCTCGTAAATGCCGAAGCCATGCAGTGGAAAAAAAGTCTTAATTACAAAAGGAAGCAAAGAAAACAGTTCGTCGTAGGCTTTTTGTTGTGGGTATTTTGGTTCTTTAGTCGAAGAGACCGAATCCCATGTCCTCGTCGGACTCTTCCTTCTCTGTACCCGAGATACGTTAGCGCTGTCGCAATGGCGGGGATGCATTCTCTGTAGAGAATTGTCTTACCCTCCTCCTTGGCCTCCTCAGCGGGAGCGTCAGCAGCAGCAGTGGCAGCAGCAGCGCCACCGGCAGCGGGGGCGGCACCACCACCAGAGCCGACGTTGACAAGGAGATCCTTGACGTCCTTGCCCTCAAGAGCCTGCGCAGCGAAAAGAATCCAGTTAGCGTGTCGTGTTCGTCAATACTCGCTCGGGGTACGTTGGGGTCGCGCTATGATGTAGGAAGCGCGGGGTCATCGGGTAGGTTGTACCTTGGCGAAGATGGAAGTCCAGATGGGCTCAACCTCGACGTTGGCGGCCTTGATCAGAGCCTGGAGCTTGTCGGCCTGAAGAGAGTTAGTATGGGGCTTCGCAAGGTGGTGGCGGCAGTCGGGTTGTGTTCGTCATCGCAATGTTTCGTGTCGCATATGAAGTGGGAGAAGAAAAGACGGGGCCATATGTTCAGAATGGCTGCGCTCAAATTCAATCGGACCCGGCGCGAAGGAAAATGTATCAATTGCCCAACAGTGTCGTCGATTCTTCAGCCCAGCCACGAAGATTTTTGGCCTCGTCTTTAATTCCCCAAATCACAGATGACCAATATTTGTCGAATCCAGAATATCACAACCCGTGTTTCCGCCGATATTGAAACATACGGTGATATCGATGCCATCGTCGGCAAGGATGAGGGCCGCGTAGGAAGAAGCGAGCTCGGGGGTGGACATTGTGACGGTTGGGTTGTGGTGATGTTGTGGTTGAACGTGCAAGAGAAAAGAGAGGGTTTCGACGTTCCAGAGGTCGGCAAATCCGTTGGTGGGCTGAAGGTGCTCGTGGCTCCTCCCTCTCGCCTGTAAAAGCGGGCCAGCTAGGGCCACAAGAATAAAATCACTAGGCTCACGGGTGAAATGCCCACAGAAAGGGCTTGAAGACCTAAAAGTGGGATGGTAAGAATAATTTTTCCGTACTGCCGACGAGAAGCCACAAGGGATTGGGGATGTGGCTCGGCCGGGTGGAGGCATGTGGCTTGAGTCCAAGGAGAATGAGCGTCTCCGCCTTCGGTGAGTATGTCATGGTCCTGATTGGCTGGCAAGGACGCACCAGTAAAGATTGGGTCTCGAAATCCACTGGATGCTTGCAGCAACACGATGAACCAGTCAGGCAAGCAAAGCGTCTGCTCAATATAATGACTGCGCATTCCTCGTATGATATGTTCAATTTTCATATCAAAACTTACCGAAATCAAAGCAATATGGAAACTCCCAATATTATCAAAGATTTAATTCAGCCATCGCTCACGTGCCAGTTGCCAGTCAACAGTGTACCGGGGTTGCTGCAGAGCTCGGTCCACTGAAGATCCCCGCTGTACCAGCCGCATCTGCGGCCCAAAGTTGCAGCATCCGCTGCTTGCGCCAGTCATTATTGAAGACCGAGTACATTTGTTCCGGTCAACCATTGACGCTTAGGCGCATCTGCACATTCCGGCAGCGCACTCCTGTTTGAATATTTCATTTCTGACTGCATCTTCATTGTACCAATCCTGGGCAGCCCGACGCGAAGTACAGCACGACCATGCCGCGCTAGAGTCTTTTGCCCCTCCGCCTTCCCAACAAGTGAACTTGATACTTTACCCCACGCCACCCTCCAACTCTCCTCGGAAGGCCAGGAACCTTTTCCAGAGTCTTCTTTCAACATCACCTCCCCTCCCTCGCGAAGCCAGTCTCCTCCCTTCCTCTATTTCTTCGCCGCCTAATCGGTTTGCGACCTTGATACACATGGTATTATAGTTTGGCCGCACCAGCAACCAGCTGCCTCACCTCGAAAAAAAAAATGGAAACCCCCGCGATCCCGATGCCGCGCGATGCCCGCGAGCTCGCCGTCCTGCAGCGCCTCACCGAGATTCGCGATCAGCTCCTCCTGCTCAAGCAGGACAGAACCACCTATATTCGCAGTCAAGATATCTTGCCCCTCTACGACCAGACCATTGCGCAGGTCAAGGAACTCATTGCCAGCCGCGCAGAGACCGGCGCCGCCGACGAGAATAGAGGTAAGAAGAGCGCGCTGCCAATGACCGATGACCGCGCATGCTAACTCGGCACTTTTCTTAGTTGACAAGGTGCTTGAGGGCTGCTTCCAGCTCCTCTCGCTCTTCTACCTCACCATCGGCCGCAACGAAGAGGCCCCTGCTACATATGCGCTTACGTCAACGATCAAGAGACTACTCGATCACCTCATGGAGGCAAACTTGTACTCCGCCAAGGATCTCGAGAGCCTTCAAGCGACACTGGAGCAGCTTTCTACAAACATAAGCCGCTCGAGTAACCCCGACACTCCAGGGCCGCAGCACTCGCCATACCTGTTGGAACTCTTGTCGAAGCGTGTCGAGCGATGCACCGCGACGCTAGGCAAGCTGCAGAAGCGTTTGAACACTCTGGACGAGGCTTCACTCCCCACCTACGAAAAGCTGATTTCTATTCTTCGTTCCATCTCGTATGCAAATACCAGATCCAAGGTGAGTCAACGATGCTTGCCTAATAGCTATAGAGACGAGACTAATGGGCGCCCAGTTCTCCTCCACCGAAGTTCAGAAGCTGCAGAAGCAGTTGCATGAGATTGGCGAGAAAAACAACGGAGGAAAATTCTGCGTCGCGGGTTCGGAATCACCAGGAGCTGCCACTATGCAGGAAGTTTATGACAAGTGCTCTCGCTGGTCCGAGATTGTGCTAGAACGGCAAGTCAATCCCACTTTCTAGGAACAACTGATGGCTTGCTAACAACCTATACAGGAAGGGAGACGTGCCTGAATCCTTCCGCGAAACGTACCGCACCCTAGTCGGCATCCGGAACGAGCTGGAGAAGCTCGCCCTCACACAGGCCTGGTCCCTCCGCGAGACGGATCTTTATGATTTTCAGCGCAAGCTCGACAAGATTGACGAGAGCCGGCAAAACGGCAATTTCTTCGACCACAAGCAGCGCCCCGCTGATCTGTGGACGCAGCGCACCATGTTGTACCTGATTCGGCGCAGCTACGCGTACATTTACTCGTTTATCCTGTCCTCGGAGCCGGTCTCGGAGGCGCTTCTGCCTATTTACAACCAGCTGCAGACGCTCAAGCGCTGCCTGATTGAGGTGAAGAACAATGGCGGTGTTTCGTCTGTGCGGGAGCTGTATCCGTATAGCATGAAGGTGCGTCCCCTAAACAAAACAGCAACCCTGGGCTTCGAGAATGATGAGAAAGTGACTAACAACTTGTAGCTTGCCTCTTTGGATAATATGCGCGTCGATGGTAAATTTGTCGTCAATGGCGATATTCCCGAGGGCCAAAGCAGTGTGTCGGAGCTGCTCGCCGAGTGTTTTGATTTGAACTATGACTTGCGCGTAGCTGCCGACGAGGACATTGCGAGCGGCGCGAAGCAATGACTATTTCCTAAAGCCTGAGCGACGTTGTTTCTTTGTTGTTTCTTTTGCGGTATTGCCTCTGCTACGTTATGCAATCGATTTCCTTGGATAGTTACACAAGCTCAATGGCGGGGCATGTACCAAGGTGACAGAGACTGTTTTATAAGACTTGGAAAGGGGCTTATCCAGCAATGGGGGAGTACGATGACCCTGGCCGGGCCGGGCCGGGCCGTACTCGTGGCACCTTGATTTTTGACTGTTTTGCGCGGAGGAAAATTTGCTGCACCATGGTTTCCTATAGTAAGTATCGTTATCCGCTGGGCATTCAAACCCAGCTACCTAGGCATGTCACAGGGCGTTGACGTTGTCTTGACTCTGACCTTGTAAATGCTACTTGATATTGATATTTGAAATCATAACATTCAATGCTCCGTATTGTACTCGAGTTTTCTGGAATTCCCTATCCTGTATTAATTCAAGGCTCTGATTGCTCCAATTATATAGAATCATATACCATCTGCCAGTGGTACTCAACGAAGAGATTAAAAAGGTTCTACAGACACAACTAACTACTAAGAAGACAACTCGTTTCATGACGCCTGTAGCAAAGAAAAAAACAAGGCGGGCTTTCTTTTTCCACAAAAAGTTCTTCAAGTAGTCTACGCTTGAATTTCACTCTCCTTCCAGCTCACAGCGCCACCGACGACACGGCCGCCATTTTGGCGCTTGACGCGGCAGTTCATACCAACGCTGTCGTCCCAGATGAAGCGCCAGATGGCGTAGACCCAGCTCTCGTGGCGGGGGAGGTCGTCGTAGAACTCGCTGGCGATGCGGTTGACCTTGTGCAGGCGCGTCCAGGGGACGGCGGGAAAGTCGTGGTGCTCGTTGTGCAGGCCGACGTTGTAGGTGAGCCAGTTGAGGGGCCCGTAGTAGGAAAAGGTCTCGGGGACGGGGACCTTGTTGGCCGGGTCGCGCTGGGCGGGCGTGACCGTCTCGTACACGTAGTGCTCGGCGATGAAGTGGCCGGCGACGGGGTGCAAGCTGCCGGCGAGGAAAGACGAGAGCACTAGGTAGAGCAGCGCCTTGGACGAGGCGAAGTGGACGAGGACGGCGTCAAAGGCGACCTGGACGGCAATGTTGAGGGCGTGGATGCGCGTGAGGGGGACGCGGTAGACGGTCATGGGCCGGATGGCGTAGAAGAGGATCTGAAAGGTGCAGAAAAAGGTCTTGCCAAAGATGGAGTCGAGGAAGAAGGCCTCGAGGGCGGTGGGCAGATCGGTGTCGAGGCCGTCGACGCCGAGCGACTTGTGGTGCGTCAGGTGGTAGGGCTAAACGGCTGCCATGTTAGCTTTGCGCACAGAAGGAGAAAGGGTGAGAGCGCGGGAAATTGGAGTTCCATACTCGGAAGGAAGCGCTGTAGGGGATGCCGATGGGCAGGTTGGCAAAGATGGCGAGGACGCGATTGGCGGTGGCGTTCTTGAAGGCCAGGTTGTGCGAGATTTCGTGGATGGCGAGGAAGAGGTTCTGGTTGGCCGTGGCACCAATCACGTAGGCGATGGCCCAAAACTTCAAGGACCAAAAGGGCGTCGATTGCAGGTAGACGGCGAGGGCGACCTGGAGGGCGACGACGCCGGCGACGACATATTTGGTGAGAGGCTCAGGGCCGCAGAGCTTTGTGATCTGGGGGAAGAAACAGTTGTCAGTATTGCAAGAAGGGGTTATAGTTCTGTTCGGTATTCCACTGGGGGTTGTCGTACCTCGGGGTGCTTCTTGATAATCTGCAGACGTCTCGTCCGGTGCGGCTCTTCAGTATATGTCCAGAAAAAGTCCTTGGGGCCATTCGCGTCGGTCCTCGTCTCGGTCGGCGCCGCCAGCGTCTGTTGTGCGGCGGCTTTTTGGCCAGCGGCTGTTTTCGACATTGTCCTCGTCGCTACAGCCATTTGTGCTTGTGAAGAAAATCCCCGAGGTGTAGCGCAACCAGGATTCTCGATTTTTTGTTTTTGTTGAAGGGGGGGCTAAAGTCGGTAGGTAGCTAATTTTAGCCCTAGGCGGCGAAGCGATGGACGGACGGGTAATCGAGTATTCGGCGCGGGGACCGCAATTGAGGAATGTGCGGTGCGCAAGGACGTCAGGGACAGTGGTGTGTTTCGTTTGTATTGTAGGATATAGAATGGAATGCGAAATGGCAGAGGGGGGTTGGAGTAGATATTAGGGATAAAAAGGAGCACGTAATAAAGTGTTGAAGAGTGGTTGGCTTTCTGGTTAGCTGGCTTCTGTGAGAGTTTGGTGGGGAATTTCGGGGACGAGCAGGGGGCAATTTACACTTTACTGGTGCCTGGGACGCAGTGCTGAAGAGGGGCAACTCGCCACACTACAGCCACACAAGCACTCACAAGCGCCACAACTCACCACAGAAGATGGATTATCAAGAATAATAATCGTTTATACAGTGATAAATATATAATTGGAAAAGGGAGTCCAAGCACGAGCCGCACCGGACGAGACGTCTGCAGATTATCAAGTAATAGAAAATGTGCTTTTTTGCCTCTTTGCACACTTGCCTATAACAGTACAGGTAAGTATTCGTACATACTACGAAAAGTAATAACAATCTGCAGAATGGCGCGAGTTTCCATTGTTTTAGCGCACCGCAATTCAGGAGCAGACGGAAGAAAGGATCGGTGGGGTCATTTCTAGTGGGGGATGACGCTGCATCTCAATTTTCCAATTGCCCATCTGCTGATTCGGCATCTCAAGCGCCGGTCAACAAGCATTATTCAGTATCATTTAAACATATGTTCTGACAAGGGGCTTCTTAATCCGCCTTTGCCAGATGGCAAGGCTAGCCATCTCCGCTGACCTATGCTTCGTTGCAGCACCCCAAAGTTGACATGTCTTGTAACTACGACTCGACTGAATGTCCCCGTGGCAGACGTGCCGAATCGCAGGACAAGGCCATCAAAACATCAGCCATGGATATCAAGTACAAAGCACGTCACATCACACACACACACACACATACTACACTCGCTACTACGCCATGTCTACGACTGGATCCACAGAGGCTGGGGCACCAAATGGTCCCGGATGTATTCAAATATCGCATCGGCCTCGTCCTCGGCCTGAGAATCGTATACGCAGCTACTGCTGCCCACCTTGTGGTTGCCCGCTGCATCCATGGCACCAAGTACTCCCCATCATAAAACGCGTGTCATGACAAAAACAATATACCAACAACATATGTACAACCGCCTCACGAGCCATTGGTAGCACATGAAAAGACACCGGGCACCTCATGCGCCTCAAACGAGTCAATGATGCCCTGCACACTGGCATATGTTCCCACCGTCAGGAACATGACACCAATGAGAATGATGAGCACATTGAGGCCGTTGGAGGCCCAGTCGATGATCTTGTTCTCCTTCTTTCCGTCTTGCCGATCCACATGGCGCATGCGAAAGTAAGCCACGCCCCAAAAGATGAAGCCAAACCAACTGTCAAACAAAGAAGACATGACCGAGAGAACTGCGTTGCCATGTTAGTCGATGCGACGTCAAATATCGCCTCTGAGGGGAAAAAAACTTACGCGACGAGAAGAAAGGAATCACCTGCGAGATGAGAAAGGCAGCGATCCAGGTGATGAGGAGAATGCCAGCCCACGAGCCCCATCCCACAACAGTGTGGTCGTTGAGATGGCGAGAATTGCGGAAGACGCGGAAGAAGACGAACCGACAGGTGACGGATGCGTATAGGCAACCCAAGAAAATAAGCGTGGGTATCATAAATGAGAATGAAATCTTCTTGTACAAGTCTTGGAGAGACCCAAACGCCGGCGCAGTCATGTAGTTGTTGCCAACAAAGACGTACATGACTGCTCCGACAACGCAAAAGACGATAATTTCCGCAATGGTGCATGCCCACAGTGACTTGGGAAACTCACTATTATACAACGTTAGCAACATGATCAGCAGCACTCGGATGGCAGGCACGCTGTACTCACCGAGGGTCGCGCATTTCCGCAATGAAGCTAGGCAGCGTAATCTGTCCGATAAAGGTGTAGCTAATGTTGAGGAAAGCGGCCATGCCCTGGACGAAAGTGACGCTCGCGTTGGGGAACAAATCGTAGACGACGTCGCCGCTGCCAGCCTTGGCAGGAGGACCGCTCTGAACGGCGGAAAAGACGGCAGCCAAAACAACAGAAATGAATGTAAAGGCAGCGGACGCGGTGCCAAGCTTTGACATCATTTCAAAGGTGCGAGGCAGAGACCCGATCCAGCAGATAAATGTGACCAAAATGGAGAATTCGACAGTGCGGCAGCCACCAATGGTGTCGCTTTCCGTCATGGTGTTGATGTACTTGGCTCCCACCAGGACGTGGAGGCCCTGGATAAAGGTGTTGTTGAGGACAAACATGACGGCCGTAGCCCACCAGGCCCATTCCTTGCCCCAAAATAGCGTCTGTCCCAGATCGCAGACATCGCGAATCTCGGGGTGGCGGAGGCAAAATTTCCACAAAATCAGGCTCGTATACTGAACAAAGGCGGCAACAACGACTGTCAAGATGAGTCCGGGGATGAGACCAAGATAGCGGTACGACCAGGGGAAGCTCATGATAGCCAAGCAAATGTACTCGCTAAACAGCAGAGCCGCCGTTTTTTGCCAGGAGCACGTGCGGTACTGGATAGCAGCGCCGTCCTCGGCCGCCAGCTGACGATCGAGGATCTCCGAGGCGGTTTCGCTGTGCTCCGCTTCATCGTTCTTCAGGTAGTCTGGTATCGGCGCAATGCGGGAGCCAACCACGACATTCTTGCCACCAAAGAGGGAGGCCCATCGAGATGAACTGGTCGTGGTGGCGGTATTGACGGCCTCGAGGTCCGGAGGCGAGGCCGCTTTCAATGATTTTTCCGACATTGTAAGGTGCGATTGGCTGTCGTCTGCTTGGGTCCGAGATGCTTGGCTGGAGGAGGGAGCGACAGCGAACTAGTCAATTTGGAGCATTCGCGACTCGATTTAAATGGTTCAAATCGACGACGGGGAGCGTACCAGGACTACTTGGAAGAAACCTGACGGGGCCGAAGGGGGGGTTATATACAGGCGACAAAGATGGTGCTCGTCTGCATACCTATGCAACTGTATTTTTCATCAATTGCAAAAAGGTTAAAAAATAACCGGTCCGGGGTTGGAGGTGAGACCGTAAGCGGTTCAGTGTGCAGGGAATGAAAACGGAATTGCAAGACAACGAGACCAAACCGGGGCGTCGCCAAGTTTAAAAACAACGTTTTCAAACGTGGACTGCATTCCATGCGAAAAATAGCCGGTGTCTCACTTCGCCAGCGAGTACCTACCAACAAGCAGCCTTCTGGCGGTCTTGCAGGTCTTGCAGGTCTTGCAGGCTAAACCCAAGTTTGCGATGGAGAGGGTGATGATGTCTTGAGCGCGCCCCTGTAAAGGCGCCCCCGAGGAACCCCCACAGTGGGCTGCGCCATGTGGATATGGCGTCGCCGGCGTGGCTGCTGAGGCTTTGCAAAGTTTTCTATACAGTGCACCAGTTTCGCTGCTTTCTCTCCGGGCTTGGCTTGCTTGGCTGGACTTGGAGGAGCGCCTCGCCAAGTCGCTTCGTCCCGGATGCGCTGTCGATGTGTGTGCTTGGCGAGGCTTCAGGTGGCGGCGTGTTGGGACGAACATGGCAGTGTTTTATTGACACAATATGACCTGCACCTTGAGCGCAGCACAGTGCCCATTTGTACTGCCCTGTAGTGGCGCCGGGGTGGCTCAAGGCTATCTAGGTACAAAACCAGGCTGGCAAAAGCTAGCAACCCAGATTAGCACAAAGTTTAGTGAGATGGGCGGCGCATGAGAAACAAGTGCGGCGGCGAGTAGGCTGGCCGAGAAGAGACGGACAAGAAAAGATGCCGCAACTAACTTAGTACCTATTTATTCGTACAGTGGGTGTACGTACTGTAGATGCACCAGTTATTACTGGCCCACTGCTCATTTTGTGTTTCCCGTTCGTTGGCTAGGCTGGTCTTCGTATCGAATCATATCGCTAGACGAGCTGGATGACATTGCCACGACGTAGACAGGATACTAATAGGCTTTTCATTTGTCGACAGGACGGAAGAACTGGAGATGTATGATGGAGTCTCTGTTGTGTGAAAAACTGAAATTTCGCTCCAGTATTTGGCAGCTGGCGTGACAGCTGGCAGGCACGACCAAAAGGTAGTAAGTATCACCCCACTACAGGTTAGTAGGTAGTTACATACAAACGGGCAACCAAGAGGAAACCATCTTCATGTGATGGATGCTTCAACTTGATCGTCATTTTGTGTCGTTGTACTCGGTTCGTCCTTCAGGGCTCCGGGCTAGCCGGCACATGGCCAAAGAAGGATAAGAAGCTCGCTGCTAACCCTTCTCCTCGCTAGCATCAACTTGGCAGCAAACATGTCACGCACCTGGACTTCAAACCAGAACGCCCGTCCCGTCGTCGCTATCCCATCACGCCATCCGCCCAACAGCCTACAGGTGCGTTATCACAGCGACGACCGCCCGTCAGCAAGCCCGGCCAACCAGCTCCGCAGCACTAAAAGCACGTCATCGAGGGCCCGGGAGTCGGAATTCAGCGGTTTCATCAGAGACAAGGACCGTCGGCCCTTCTTCTTTATGCCATATATATCTGTTAACTATTGCGTGCGTCGCGCGCGTCAATACATGTTCAGACGTACGACGGAATACAACCTTGTTCCAAAGTGCGATTGCGATTCCGCAGATTCCCATGCTTCCGCCCCATGGCGGACCCCGGTCGTTGATGATTTACCCATGTGTACTGCATTAAAACTCTCGGCTTCCCCATTGCGTTAATTTGATGTTGGTGAATGGTGTAGTCGAACAGAGGCATTAATATTCTCGTTATGGGTATTTTCTTAAGTTAGTCCCATATTGCGAGGTGGCGGATATACCAGTAGTGCTCGGAGGCGCTGGCTTACCGCAGATATCTCCGATTGCGGGGATGTCTTAGCCAGAATCGGGTTCAACACCACCACCAGTCATACATATCCAGCATAGCAGAGATCGACGAGCGCCTCAGCATCATCGACTGGTAGTCCTGTCAATCTGGGCGTCGCGCGTTCGGCATTTGCGGCATACTCGGCGACATGTGCGAGAAAACTCACTTCAAGGGCATCAGCGCCGCCGTGTCGGCCATGGAAGGCTTCCTGGCCGGCTACAGCCCCGTCAGTGACACGCTCGCTGCATGTCACAATCGCCGCGCGCGGGGAGTCCCCTGCCCGCGCCTCTCGAAGCGGCCCGCGATGCCATGACGCTCGGCGTGCAGTGTATTGTCAGAGGTTGGTTGGGAACAGGATAAAGCGCGGTTCCAAAAGAGCATTCTCGCATCTCTCTTCACTACGTAGCTTCTCGGAGAGGGGGCTTTCCGCAAGCACATGAGTCCTTTCAGTCTTGATAGCCTCATGGAGCATTTGATCATTACAGATATGGCACACTACACTACTGGGCTTGCGATCCAGATATCCAGCAACAAGGTTGTTGAGGGAGCTGCTGTTGGATCCGAGCTGCGTTGTGCGTGCCTTCGGGCGTGATAAACGTGCTGCGGATGTCAATGTGACTCTTGTGGCCGTACTGTGGTCGCGCGGAAAAGAGTCGAGGTACAGGTACCCGACCAAGTCGAAGCGGGCGTCCTGTGCGTCGTCGTTCAGGACGATCAAGGCGTAGACGTTGGACTGTGGCGAATTTGAGGAAGAAGAGAGCTTCAAACAGGTAGAGGAGTCGGGAGAGACAGCCTGCAAAGGGAAAGGATTCGGCGAACTTGGCCGTCCCGACGTTAAAGCCAGCCTAGACAGCGAGCTCCTTGTAGGACAGCTCATCCCGGAGAAGTAGCTTCTGAAAGCGTGATGCATTGCTCAACGAGGTGCTTCCCCTCGATGGCACCCAATGAATGGATGTGGCCGTGGCAAATATCATACAAATTGTCCTTCATGGTATGCACGAACTGCAGCGCCTTGGCCGTGGAGACGCGCTGGTACGGCTCGCGATATTCTGCCCAGCTCTTGGGGCCCAGAAGAAGGGCCAGTAGATGGCAAAGCAGCACAATCTCTTTGAGGAGCACATCATTCTTCCCAGCGACCCGTTTCCCATAGTCCATTCACACCTTGCGGCGCGTCTCCGTGCTGTCGGCGCTCTTCATCACGGCGTTGATATTAGGCTGTCGCCGATCAGCCCAGCGTAACTCGCCATCCACTTTCAAGCGTTCGAGTATGGGCTGTGGAACTCCAAGGAGATCGTCCACTGTGAGCCATATCCCAGATGTCTCGCTGTCCAAGTTTGCAATATCCTCTTTGAGTGTGGGTAGAGCAGCGTGGGTCTCCTGGACATGCGCGGTGGAATTCGCAAGGCCAAGACTGAGCTCATTAAACTCGTGGCGGACGCGCTTCAAACGGAGTTGCTCTTGTTGGTAGAGGACTCCTTTCTGCGCCACACAGCGTCGACGGCCCGAAACTGCCGGGCGGCATCGGTCATGGTCTGGCTGAACCGGAGCGAGGCTGTGCGGGTGTCCGCTCGGGGTGAGGTCGAGCGGAACCAGTCCAGCCGGGTGGCGCGCTGGCTCCGGGCCTTCTCGTTGCGGAGGATGGGCAGGATAGCGTTGGCAAACGTGGCGCGCTCGGCGGCAGCGGCGACCCACTCGGCCGAGGGCGGCGATGAGCTCGGTGACCTCGCTTGCGAAGAAGATGGTTCTATGTCAAAGTCTATGGGTGGCTGCGGCGATTCCCTCATGCCCATGATGGATGGCGGTGAACAGCTGACGCTTCTCTAGACTTGACGGCGCAGAGTGCAACTAAAGGCGTCTCGCACTAACAAATCGGCTGTGAGATTCCAGGTCGGACTGCTTCCAGCTCTCGTACATGTCCTTTGGGCTTCTGGTTTGGAGCATGTATTTTTTGTGATCTTGTTACCGCAGCCATCTGCTTGCCACGAGCCGCGGTTCCTCAGATCGGACCTGGGGATAACGTCAAAATCACCTCAAAATCATCTCAGACAAGCGGATTAAAATAGGACATTGGAAAAACGATAAAAGAGCTATGGCAATACTGAAAATGGCTCGAGCCATTGGCAACCAATCTGGCAGACAACGATGCGCTTTGTTCTCTACTGGTATTTCTCTGCTACAGCGTTTTGTCTCCAGCGAATAGTTAATTAAGACAGGTTACTTCGCAACTTCCGAACCTCGCGATTGAAAGTAAGCGCCTCCTTTTGGCTCTTGGCGGATTCGTCGACCCGCCAACGCTTCCGATTCGACGACATCGGCATTAGCGGCATTAGCGGCATTCGTTGCTCCGGGAAGGTCGCTCTCTCAAAATCGATCAGCATAACCCGATCATTTCTGCTATCCCACAAGATGTTATCGGGTATTGGGTCGCAGTGTAAAACACCACACTTCTGCACAGCTCGCAATGAGAGCTCGGCCTTGCGGATTAGCGGATCACGACGTTCAGGGCATTGCCTTATAGTTCTCGCAATTGGAGCCCCGACATAGCTCATAAGCATTAAACGCGCAATTTGCACGATGCCGTCATAGTAAAACAAAGGAACATCCAGCCCACCCAACACCACAGGTACGTGTGTACCCTGTATATCAGTCAGATGAGCGTATACAGATTCTTCATGCTTAGAACCAGCGACAAATTCTGCCGGCACGCCTTTGCCAACAAAAGTATATCCGTGGGAGAGCAGGGTCACTTTAAATAAAGCGCCGCGAGTTCCATGCGTGTGAAGTGATTTGCACCCTAGCTGTGTATCTGAATGCAGATCCTGAGGGCAGAATTGCTCGGATAATCGACGAATAAGCGCGGCTGGGTTCAATCGATGCCGATCGACGCCATGATCCGATGCATTTGGACAAGTCGGGTCTAGTGGAGCTTGTGTTCTTAAGCCCCGCAGACAACGCTGTGTGCAGTACTCCCGGACTGTTTCTGTGGTACTTGTAACTCTCGAAGCTTCAGTGGCAGCCCGGCGACTCGAGGAGTTGGCAGCTCCTGGCTCACGGGGGCTTCGGCTCGGTGTATTGGGATCGAACCCCCCGTCCGAATTTTCATCGTCGTCCGATGGTATGGTGTGCTGTAGAGGGTTGCAAGAAGCCACGCCGGCTAGAATAGGTCTTGACCTTGTCCTCACTGGGGACATGCGCAAATATTTATCTCGGCTCCGAGTCGCGGGCTTAAAGTCGGAAGCTGGGATGTCTTTCTCTTCAATTTCGCCTAAAATATCGTCATATACCATCTCCCATCTCTTCAATTTCGCTTCCGCCCACTTAATCCAACCATTGTCCCGTGGGGTGGTTTGCAGCGCACGAAGAGTGAAGGCCAAGACTTGGCCCAAAGCAGTGAGGTGCAGGCGGTTGTCACCATCTGGATCGGCTGTCCAGCCGGTGGATTCGCCAACGTCTTCTTTCGGGACAGAAAGATAGTAGTATGCGGTGTTCGGCTTATCACGCTTCACATATATATATATGAATGCTTCTCCAGTGCAAACGTAGCCAACTTCGATACCGCCTGTGACCATGTACGAATAAAGCTGGGTGATGACTGCCGCAACGACCCGCCGGCAAGTGATCTCGGGGGTCTCATTTTCTTGGAGACGGACTATATCATCCAGGTCCATGTCGACAAGGCCGGCCTTGATGTGCGCTAGAGAAAGCTTGTGAGGCGCCTTGTACTCAACGATAAAAGAAGGTATTCTCTCGGATATGCCCTTGTTGTACACACAGAACTGATCCGCCTTGGGTCGCGCGACCTTTTGCTGCCGGGATTTCTGATGGCTGTCTTGGCGGGTTGCTGCAGGGAGGGATGCCGTCCCTTCCGATTTCGCGGCAAGGCGTCCAGATCGCCGTAGGGGAGCTGGCTTCAGACTCATAGAGCTCATATCCGTCACAAGTATTCTCTCGTCCGTCAAAGTATTCGCATGGTTTTCGAATGCAACATCTCCCTTTAGTTGAAATGTCTCTCTAAGTCGAGTGTTTGTGTGTAGCTGTTTGATGACTGACGCAACACGCATCTCAACTGTTTGCCGTTCAAAGTACCCTAGATCAAGCTCCGAGCTTAGACTCCGCTGTCGCAGGTCTCTGCCGTTGTCCTCCAACACCAGCAGCGGCGTAAAGTGGCGCTCGGTGACGAAATCAGCGTTCATCAGCGTCTTCCATATCTTAGATTGCTCCAGTGGGAAATTGCTCCATTCTCGAATGTAGTCTGGGCGGAGTTTCTGTTCGGCGTTCGCGGGGTCACCCTTTGTTGTGATTTTTTTGTCTTTCTGGACATCTAGACCAAGAAAGAGATGTTGGTGGCACGCGTCAAGGAACTCTGGAAGCGTTGTGTTCTGGGTCTGCTGGGTCTGAAGCCTCA